GCAACTCGAGCAAAAGGTGCAATCCGAGTTGAATCCAACATTGGTCACTCACCTTTGGCTCACACCGTCACCCTAAGCCTCCTAATATTGTAGGAAATGAGACAATTGTTTCGTTATCAATTCTAAATTCGATCTCATCGTTATGTCTCTTCAGGTACGAAATGTATAGAATCTCTGACCTTACTGGAGGTTTTGTCGCAGAGTACAACTCGAGATTCTCCAGAAACTTCCTCGCTACAGTGCGTTCCCTGGTTGTTGCTCCTCAAGATGGCTATCGTTATCATGGAGGAGACTTTCCTTGCGTGGAACGTACTCTAATCATGGAGTGTGTAGCCAGACACATGAACATTTTTAATGGTATGTGCTGACCAGTACAACGGGGTTTATCGCCGATCCGAGTGAAGGGAGCATGGCTAAGAAGCACAAAAGGTTTCAAGTCCGCAGCGACCAAGCAAGACTTACATTATTTCGGGATCAAATGATCGTGCACGATTTCCACGGGAAAACGGTCACTCGAATGTCGACCGACCCGCGGATTGGGCTAAGCTGAGTACCCATTCAACTGCAAGAAACGATAATGAATAGAAGCGAACGCAACTATGGGGCTTGGTCACGCCACCGACAGCCTCATTCCTTGCCTTGACTGTGCTAGAGACAGGCCTTGGCTTACTATTTCCATCACCGGGCTCCAACCGCAATGTATTCCACACGTTTTGTTGCTCGAATCATTCAGCGAGACCAGTTAGGTGCTTCCCCGAGGAATTCGATCTCACACAGAAAAGTAACCCTGTCGCAGATATCGCTTGAACGAACATCGAACGAAACGTCGCCGCAGCAAAACGCGCGACTCCATTACGTCTTAATCACATTAAAATCGCCCTGGTGGTCGTCGCTCAGTTCCCCATTCTCTCAGTCCTTTCGGTTCGCAATCGGTGGTGTCGGTGCCGGTCATGTAGGCGGTGGTGGTGGTTGTGGCCCGGCATGGCCCGGCCTGGTGTCTTGGCCCAGTTTTCGCCGTCTTCGCCTTCTCCTTCTCCTCATACCAGCGCGACACAAATGACTGCGCTCAAGAACCCGTGATGATTCATTAATCCGTGGGTGATTTCCTATGTCCATAACTGTTTTCCTGTCTCGTTTGCTCAGCGCCGAATTCTTATCCTTTGGAATCTGCTCTACTGATTAACCCTTATCTTTGTACCTCTCCCGTTGCCCTTTTCTTATCTTTGAGGAACTTAGAACTCTTTCTGTTTTGCAGAGAGCTCCATTCAAGTTGCAAAGGAGCGCTAATAAAACTCGCGAACGGTAGGCCATGAACTAGACATTCTCGGGCCCAAGGGTCGAGTAGTTGACCCTGTCTCAGAGAGCCGTGCCAAGTGCGTGGCGCATACTAGCACAAAGGAGTCGCTGTATCTTTAGCTTACGGTTACTTCCCTCAAGGCTGGAGATGATTATCTATACCATTTTATCACACAAGCAACACTCTAGCTGAAGCTCTGTGATACGCCGATGATAACATCTGACACCCTGATGGACCAGAGGTTTCAATCCGGGTTGCCGTCTTCTCGTTTTCAATCTGATTCCTCTTCTTTCTCACGATCACCTACTAACTATTCGTTATCGCTTTGTCCATCTGCCCTCCAGAGAGTCTCAAGGGCGCCGTGGATACCTTCGCAGGAGGCTATCGTCAATCTCGTCTTATCGGTCAACTTAGGCAGCCACTATACGGTTACAGGACACCACCTCTATGCCAGCCTGTCTGATTTTGGCAACTGTTTTTTGCTCTAATTCTCTATTTTGAAGTTTAAACTCAGTTTTAGCCTATTTTTTCAAAAGTTTCTGGACGTTTGAAAAAGCTTCAACCCTTAAAATCTTCAACCTCAAAAACTTCCAACGACTGATAATTACCTTCAGTTTTTTTTGCATTTGAAAACTACAAGTGTTGAAATGGTCTAGGTGTATCATTGTTCTTGGCCCTGCGTCAGATTTGACATTGGGTCACACAGGTTCTCTATCAAATAATCAAAGGAGGGGAGCAGAACATCTTTCCAGGTGTTTCAATTGAACTGCCAACTCGTCAAGACCAATCCGCTAACCAACCGCTCCAGGAACTCATTTATTAGGTTGTCTCATAAACAGTGTCGCTTTTTTTCATCCAAAAAATTTTCATCTAAACCTCCATGCTTTTACATCGTGTTGTGTACCATTCGAAAGAGAATTGTCTGCTCTACAAAATGCTATGTCCCACTTCCACATTTCTTCCAGGGTTTTCAAATTTTGGGCCTGTGAAATGGGAGGTCCGGCCGACAAAAAATGGCCAAACCGACAACTATCTCTAACATTATCTTTCCTTGGGAGAAATCAATCTATGATGTACCTTCTACTTATGCATGACCTCTTCTAATCATTACACTACTAGGTTTTCCTACAAATCGCGTCGTTCAATTTCCAGAGCTGGTTTTTCAACCAGAACTCGACGATCGAGCACCATTACCTGTGATCTAGGTCGAAATTTTTTTATGGCCGAGACGTTGAAGAACTGGTTGAATTTGAAGAACAAGTCATGACTAAGTTAGGAATGTACGACTGGTTGATTTTCTCATTTTCTAAGGGATAATTTTTTTCAAAGAAATGTGGTCACTTTCGCGGTAAAGCACCTTATACCGAAACATCTAAAATTCGAACTAATTCCCAACAAACAGAGAAACAAAACAAATGAGCGAGTAGAGCAGAAGAAGTGCTCGTAAAAGGAACACCACTCGATATGAAACAATGACGTTTACGAGGAACAATTTTAATTTGAAATTGCTATGGCTTATCCGTCAGCCAATTCGAAAAGAAAAACGGCAAAGCTTTTTCGGCAACCTAAGAGTGGAATGTTTAGAAGAGGTCATGGGTAAGTATAGGGTATATCACTGGTTGATTTCTCCCCAGGGAAAATAAAGTTACAGCCAGTTGTCGGTTTGGTCAATTTTTGCCGGCGAGACCTCCCATTTTGCTGGCCTGAAATTCGAAAACTCTGAAATAGCGGTGGAAGCGGAACACAGCATTTTGTAGAGCAGACAATTCTCTTTCGAATGATATATAAAACGATGTAAAAGTTTCATGATTTAGATGAAAATTTTTTGGTTGAAAAAAAACGACATCACTTATGAGACAACCTAATACATTCATTCATGAGAAAGAAAGGAGATTCCTTCAGACCTTATGCCATTTCTTTATTTATTTATTGCACTCGTTTATTTTTTGTTTATCTATTTGTTGAAGTACAGTGTACAAAACGGGCAAAGAAATTCATGATCTTCCACTAGTAGCTAGCAACGAATGGTACAACCAAGATTGGATAGCATCAATGCTGTGAGACCAATTTTGTCTGCGAAATCCATAGAACCAGCTTCGAAAGGGGCATTTTAAGTTGGCCTAGCGATTAGATTTGCTAATCCCCTTTTCAAAGGTGACAAATTTAGCTTTAGTCTAGTTGTTTTAATGAGTTTATATTCGCCTTTTTGTACAGAAAGCGGCTTTTGTATCAGAAAGCGCTAATGTTTTCACCAGACTCACGACAGGCGAGCTGTCACCTCAATTTTATGCCTTTTCCCACCGGGACTCGCCCTGTTCGGATTGACAAGAAGGCCAGGACTTTCGACAATCTTCAGTTGTATGTAAGAGAGCAAGGGACAACTGGATAATGCTAATTGGAAGCCGCCTGGCTTAGTGTGCTATTTCCAGCCTACGGTGGCAGGAATTAAGCTCTTCCCCTACTTCGATGGCGCCATCTACAGCTTGGTAGGCTACAGATAAGACCCACATTACCACCGAACCGCATTTCTCTGATTCCTAAGTTCTGGAGACAGAAACTGACTTTAGATTTGAGGTCCCCGACAGGAGGCCCGTCGCGCGGTAACAAGGAAGAGTCAGCAGCGAGTCGCACGGCGTGGTGTGCGATGTAGGACGTACAATGATGCATTCTATTCGAATTGACGCGCAAACACTACAGCACGACTCGTCCGGTGACTCTGCCTTCTGTCGGTTACCCCAAGACTTGTCTGGGAGGATGAAAACGTTGACCTGCATAGGCTGGCTTCTGCAGGTCCAAATTGCAATCAAACGCTAGTACGATTCCCGATGGAGGCTGGGTGCATAGCACATTTTATAAAGAAAGTTTTGACAGCGTAGTAATTCTGCGCTTTATGTTCCTTTACGACCTGTAACACGTATTTCAAGCTCGCATAAAAACCTTCTGCCGGAACATTTGTACTTACCGGTGCAGGAACAGGCCCTCGCCTTCCTTTCTAAACTGTGTTTTGTCGAGTCTGATTCTTCTGAGTCCGGTATTCAATGATCAGCAGTTGATAGGACATCTTTATGCCCGCCGTTCCTTCTGGGCAGACCCATCGTCGAGTTTTGTTTCCCGTGGCACCTTCCTTTCAGTCTTTGCATGACCTTTAAGGGCGAATCGAAAGTCGCTGAAGAGTCTTGACTCGGCCGAATGCTTGACACACTATCAGGATGTCGGGGAAACTTTTTCGCCCACACACACACATCCGCCCAGAAACGATGATCGGCGCCCGCGCTCACAAAAGTCCAGCGTGGAACGATTTGGCGCCAAGGTTGTCGTTGCAGGGCACAGCACGAGTGATGAAGCAAGCGGGCTCGTTCCAGAAATGGCGTAAAGCTCCCGTCTGTAGTTTAAGCGTTCATCATCGAACCAATTCTTGGCTAATCGTTCCCGGCTAAGAATACGATGAGCATCATCCGGGATGGAAAGCGCTTTGAAAACTGCTGTTGTCTTGGGAGGTCTAAATCGGTGTGGGTAAATAAGTGCCCGTGCTGTCACCTTGGTTGTTGTACTCATAAATCCTTGAAAAGGAGAACTCGCAGCATGCGGCCAAGGTCTCAGGAATGCGGTCAAATCCGGCACCTTTTACATGTCGTTCTTCTTTGAAGGGTTGCACTTGATCGAAAAAAAGTTGGTCGGGAAATTTCACACACAGAAGACGAAAATGGAGATGGCAGGGTTGGGATTTCACCGAGAATGACCGGTTTGTCAACCCAGGGCTACCGTCATCTTTCAGTAGAAAATGCTGCGCAGAAGGACTTAGGCGTCGCTCTGGTATCAGGTACCGTAGTGCATCATGGCCAGTTTAATCACCGTACCGGCGTCAGGAGAAATGCTCCGAAATCTCCCGATATACCCAAGCGAGTACGCGATACATCCCAAGAATTCCTCTCAGCATCCACCTAGCCTGATGAGGCACAACTCCTCTCAACATGTTGCTGTTTTGGCTTGAGTGTGGATATCTTGCAGCATATTGCCTCTGTAAATTGAACTCGAGTATCCAAGTTCTACTTGGGTTATACCTAAGGCCAGGGTGGGTTATAACCAGCGTAAACCTTCACATTGGGTAAGATTTTGACAAAGGACAACCCTTGTGAAGAAGTGCCTAATGAAACCCTCCCTCCTTCTGCAGCTATTGACAGTGTTCTGAGAGCTGTGCTAAATCTGTCATAAAGTTTCCAAGTCTACCCACCCCCCCCCCTCAGCTCCCGAAAAAACTGCTCTAAAACGGGAGGGGGCGGGGAGGGGGAGTGATATTGATATGCAGCTTTCGATACAGTATGTGTCCGTCCAGCACTAGCACCTAAGCACTTCACCAGTGAGAATGTTAGTAAGTTTCCTCCCTCTTCTCCCCGCCCCCCCCCCCCACCCATTACCAAAATAACCTCCAGCAAAGCGCACAAAACACCATCCTTTCAACATCAATAATCACGACTCCCCCCCCCCCCAAAACTCCAAATACGATCCCCATCCATAAATTACAAATACGATTTCCACATTGGGAACTGGGTTGGCCCTTAGCTACCGAGAGCATATTCGTTATCTTCAGTTCTGGTTCCCATGATCAACGCCCTTTCACAAACCCCAAGAAGCACAGATTAGTTGAGCGCTGGTTACCTAACCTTGTTGTTTGATTGAGGTTGCCATCACGATCGGTTGGAATGAGTACACTTTGAACTCAAAAGTGGGATTTTAAGTTAATCAGGCCTATCAATACATCGCCCAAACACCAAGAGGTCTCATCAGAGGTGACATCGATTCACTAGCACGGGTTTTCTTGCAGCTCTCACTGACCGCATCCGCTTTCCCTGCGTATCCGGCTATTTTTGTTCGAGTTCTTTCACCTCACAATGTGACGCTAACAGCCGCGTTAATTGGAAGGGCGGCGTCAGTAGACTAACGGAGCGCCGCCTTCGCGAAGGGGCTCACATTCCTGTTGTCCTTTTGGGGGTGGGGTCGGTGTCGCATCAGCGACGACGACGATATCCCTCTCAGCGGCGGTGAAAGTTCAGCGGCGGATGATTTGTTACGCTCCTCTCGCTAGGCCCGACTCCTCGACCAAGGAGTGATTAAGTGGGCTTTCCTGGGTACAGTGAGGTAGTTCCCGCTTGCTCTGGGGACACCCACATAAATCCCCTTCGCATTCAAGCGGGTTAAATGTCGGCCACTTCACTGGCCTAAGGTTTTGCGACTGTCGCCGCGGGTCGCGCGCTGATTTCAGAAAGGCTTTTTCACCTGCTTTTACTGAGCAGTGTTGATTCATAACCGGTGTGTGAACGGTCCAGGTAGGGTTGATCCTGCGTGTCCTCTGCAGGATGCTAAGGGATTAGACCACAATACCCGGATAGCTTATAGACTTCCGTCGCGCACAACGGGCGCAAATGGATCGAATCTTTTCCACATCTTCACCTTCCGGCTGTGTATTCTTTCATGCAACACATTATTCGATTTCTCGTCGCGGAATTCTCTCGCCTATTACCTTTATTTCGACTATTCGTCCTATACATTGAACAGCTTTTCCAGTCGGGACCCGCCCCAGAGATCTGCAGTGCCATCCGCAACACTTCACACAAACGGCACTTCCGCCATGCTCTGGGCCCTACCTCTTCTCGCGCTGGTCAGCGCCCAGACAATTCGTAAGTGACGTTTTCCTCAGTCTTTGTTGATTTCTTGTTTATTTTTTTTTTTTGAAATAATTCATACTTTCATCAATATATGAACTTTACTGAGAGCTAAAATACCAAATGGGTTGCCCTGGTGAGACCCCCGGCATGTCGTCCGCACTTAGATCAGTGTTACTTGGCGCCAGCGCTACTGGATCGGTACAGTCTGATCTCCTTTCTTACGAACTTTAGAGCTGATAGACTGCGGGGTCCTCACAGTTCCAGGCCGCGCAACGCTCGCGAACTGGGCCTGACAGCTTTCAGGGCGGACGGTAATTGCACGAGCTCCAGGTGGTAGGCAAGAATGCATTTCTGCCAGTCTTGCGCAGGGCTAATGGTTAACCTCCAAGAACATGAGATCCGAACTCGTCGGCTTTATCAATGATGAAGAGTCAGACAATGGGTAGCCTCCGAAGCGCTCTGACGCAATTGCGAGGCAGCATCCGCTGCCTCGGTACATCCTCTGACTGGGCACCATAATGGCGCACATCCAGCGATTGCAAGCGCGGTTAACCGCGTTCCGCTCCTGGCTCAACCCAACAGGCCCCTGTACGAAAGGGTTGACTCTCCGGCCATACAGGCCTCCTCTTGGGGTTAGCGTACTCACCGATGCTGATTCTAATAGAAGAATTTCCTAAAGCTTCTCTCAGCTTTGTTATCTTAGCTATATATTATCTAGCTATATTATATTATTGATGAAGTGAACAATAACGCGCTCAGTGGTTAGTTTTTATTCCATTTTGACAGTCCCACGCTGGTGTTGTTGAATCCTCGTGCCTGTTTCCCTTCCTCTCATAACGGGCGAGAAACAGGTTCGGTATGCTTTTGCCTGCATGAAGACGCGTGCACCAGCACGTCGCCGCCCCCCGCTCCCCCACCATAAACTAGCACGATTTCGCCCCCTCGGCCTAATCGTCCAAATAGCGGGTCAGGATTCCTGCAAGCACGCAAGCTTCAACTGTGCCAAAGACAGCTGGCCCACATATTTTTCGTAATTCTAACTTGGGCACATTCCCCTGCGCCTCGAATTTTCCGCCCGGCATCGTTCCGAGCAGGAACAGTGGCTAGCTTTTGATGCGCTCCTGTGCTCCTAATGGCAATTGGTAGTGAGAACAAGAACAAGAAAAAGAACTGAAAGTTTTTCCTGGCAGGCCACCAAAAGCTTCCGAAAAGGTTCAAGGCAATCACGTAGCTTAACACATTCACGACGGCGCCCTTTTCCACTTTCGGTCGCGTGGACGGATTGTGAACGGCGCCGCCGCCTCAACCTCACATCCGCGGATTTTGTACTGTAAATGAACAAAAACATGAATGTCACAAAATAATTTCTGCAATGTCCAATGCGTAAAGATTATCTAAACATATAACAGTAGGATTTCGATCAGAACGACGAATAGTGGTTACGAAAAGAGAGCATTTATTCACTTTCCCCGTGAAGGAATTTAAAAGCATTTTACACTCGATTACGAGATTTACCCACCTATCTGTCCATTCCTAGCGCCTGGCAAGCGATTATCAGCTGGCAGCCCATATGGGCTGCCATCGTCCCAGGAGCACATGTTGTTGGCAGCCCATATGGGCGGCCATCGGCGTGAATGTGTTAATCTGACAAGTTCTGTAAGTAAGCAATCGAATGGTTTAGTGCGAAATTTGACCGTTTCTTCGGGATCTTTGTATTTATCTTATTGCCTGCGAAATACTCATTTTCGCTACCTCCTGCTTTTCCAAATTCATGTTTTGGATGCAAAACTGGGCTGAAAAAAGTGCAGAGATTTCACGGGATGAGCCATGCATTTCGCTTCCGTTCAGAATCGCATGCGCTTTTTCCCAGCCACTATAATGGGACCCTACGGTTGTGTGAATGCATTTGAGCTCAGTTCTCACACTCTCAGCTTGGTTTCGATGTGAATGACCGGATAATCGAATCTATCCACTTGAATCACCGCATTCCAACGCAATCAGTATGCGGTTTTTCATTGTCATAGCGATCTCCTTCGAAAAAGAATCCACTTGCGAATCGAGGTCAGCGTTTATTGCGTGACCGACTATGCTACGACTGTGGTGAACTCTTCATCTATCTCTCTCTCCTCTCTGATAGACAGAAAACGCCGAACAAGCTCCAGCCGCGAGCGTAACGCGCAGGTCTTTTCGTGGTTGTTCGCTGGTGACCGGCGACGAGTCATTCTCCACACACTGACCTGGTTGAAGTTTTCGCGACAGCAGAGTCATTAATTATCATTGAGATGATTCGCTTGGTCACTATGGGACAAATACTGTGGAGAACTGGCGATACGTAGCTGAGAGGGCGGGGGGGGGGATGGAAACCCTAGAATGGTCATTTCTTACGAAGTACTCCCGGCACTCGTGTTCGCCGCTTACCACGCGTACGGTTCGAGATCCGAATTCCGGATCGAATCTCGTTCACTGAATCTACCCTGCCTGCTGATAAAAACATTGGTCTCTCACCAGCTGACCCCCATAGGTCATTATGTAGGCAAAAGCGCTCTCAAATGACCCTACGATTACGAATAGAGATACAGTGAGATAAGAGGAGATACATCTAAGAAAGGGACTGGTTAACGCCCAATAGTTGCCGGTGTCTATTACTGTATTTTCCGAAAGCTTTTCCCAAAGCTGCTGTTCCGAGACAGGTGAGAGGCTTATTTTGCTTCAATAAAGAGTGAACATCCGTTCACAGTTCCCCTGCGCATCATAGAGGTTAGATCGAGCTATCAGCGCTGGTCGATTTTTGATACGCTCAGAAGAACTTCTAAAGCAGAATCGTCAGCTCTATTATAAAACACAGATATAATAGGAATCAATTAAATAGTACAAGTGTGGGTCAGAGTCCAGACAGCGAAAGTGACAGCCCCGTATTGAAATGATGCTAAACTATCAAATTCTTACTGCACCAGGAAATCCTGAGTGTCCACAGGGTCTCAGGGCACAGCAGTCAAAATAGCTAGCTTTTATGAATAGTATGTCGCAAGACAGCAGAGCCACAACACACGACACGCTAAAAAGATACGTATCGATTGACCGTTGCCCAGTCAATACACATCTTTTTTGTGCGAGAGCCCACTGTGAACTTGCAAAAGTTTGAACGCAACAAGGGTACCATTCCTGAGTGCCTGCAAATTTATAGAATCCCCTGAATTCCCTGAACATATTCTCTACGATAGCAGTAAGGCCGCGTTTATACTTCGCGACTGCGGAGATTGGGATAGTACCAGACAGTGAAAAAGATATGTATTGACAGGGAAATATTACGATAGCAGTACATAGGAGGTTAGGACAGTAATGGAGAAGGATAGTGCGCCGAAAGATACGTATTGATCGCTTCACCTGAAGACGCTGAATCTACTACTCTCCAGCGATTCCAATCGATACGTATCCAATCTTGTCAGCGCAATCTCCTACTCTACTACTATCCCAATATCCTATCGCCTACTATCCTAATCCCCCCAAGTCGCAAACTATAAACGAGGCCTAAAATTGGGTAGATTGCGGTCACCAACCTATGCACGTCCTTCTAATGAGCATCTCGTTTCAGCCTCAGTATCACACTGTCCGTCCGGCTCTCAAGCGGTCTTTCTACTTCAACGCAATGCCACCGTCGGTAAACAGATTCGTGCCCTCCCCACAGCGGCTTTTGCCGACTGCTCAGATCATTGTGCGGTTTCCAATGTAAGTCACACGGTCATTCCATAAAATCTACCGTAATAGCGCTCCTAAAAACCAAATGCATTGTTATTTAGGATTGCGTTGGAGTCGAGTTCATAAGCGGCAATTGCAAAGTGTTTGGTGCTGGTAAAGAACAACCAACACCGGGTGCCAAAGTGCTCATGAAAAATTGCGTCAAGGTGGGGTTTTATTCGAGCACTTAGGAGGGTATCGCTCAGAGATGTAATTTGCGGATTTTAGAGCGAACGAGTGTGCTCGTCACCATTCCATTTCGACTTGTTCGAGCAGAAGATCCTCGTCGGTTTTGCTCGTGAGGTCGTGCCTGCTGAGAACATCCAGGTGAGAAGGGTGCCAGTGAGGGGTCTTATTGGAGGCAATGGGCTTTTAGCTGATCCCAGCTGCTGGAAATTTCCCACTTTCCAGGTCTGCATGAGCGCCTGTCTCAACTCATTCGACACTTTCGGGTTCGAATGCGAATCGGCAATGTTCTATCCGGTTGATCAGGAATGTATTCTGAACACGGAGGATCGCCTGGACAGGTACTGGTTGATTTCATGACCCGGTCGGTATCCTCTGCGTGTCTGACTGCAAAGACAAAAAATTATTTTTAGACCTGATCTGTTCGCTGATGAGGTTGAGGACCAGGTCATTTACATGGACAACAACTGTGCTGGATGTAAGTCAGCAATGTGTTCCACTGGCGGAGAATCATTTTGTAGGAACGGTACTGATCAAGTCCCTTTCAGCTCAGTGCTACGCACCGTACATCACACAGTACATCGCAGTTGAGGGTAAGCAGTTAGAGAACGAGCTGGACCGGATCATCAACGTCGACGTCGACTCCTGCCAAAGCCTCTGCACTCAACGACTCTCGCTCACGGTAAGCGCTTGAGGGGGCTGAAGGGAGTTGCACTGAAGCAGTCATCGCCACTGGCATGCAGAATGAACCGATACCTACTGCATTTTTGGTCGGTTTTGACTTTCCTGGGTCTTGTGCCTTCCCCTGGCCAACCCAGATATGTCCATTGGTCATGTGCAAGTTGCCCAAATGCTTTGAAAAGTCACTGCTTCGAGACCCCAGTAGGGTGAGATGGCAGGACTGTTTCCATATGAGCTTTTCTTTTGTGGTTTGGGTAAGTCTGACCATGGCTGCCTGTCAACAGAAACATCCAAGCAGCTATAACCTGGCGGGTTCTGATTTTTTTGACAGCTCTACCCACTTATAAGAAAATTGGCGCTATCGCAACAGCCGGGGTCCTCCTTTGGGAGTAAGCCAGAGAGGGGTAGGAATTTTGGGGAAAATGAAAATTGCTCACCGATCTTGAAGCCTCTCCTCTCCCGCCTAAGCCTTAGGCCCGCTTTTAATGCAAAGCAGATGCCTTAGGCGATTTTAAATGCATTCACAACACCATGCCCCCGTATCTTGCGATAGCGCTGGAAATGTTGGTTGCCTTTTCATGCGCAAATTTTGCGAAATTCTTCTTTAAGACATTATTCGATATTGCGTAGCCTTCCGGTCATAATCATGTCTCCCACATGGGAGTAATATCCACGGTCGTGCCCTCCCTGGCAGGTATACCGCCTACCACGGGGGTACAGTTATAGTTAAACCTTAGATGGGCTCAAGCCAAACATCTTAGTCATCCACAAACAAAAAATGTCCACGCGACCGAAGAGGAGGTCCTTCCGCAAAAACAGAGTAGACCTGTTAGCCAATTTTCCCCAAGCCTATATGGATATTAGGTTTACTAGGCCAATCTGAGGCTTAGTCCATGCCCTGCCATCACAAGACGCTCTTCAAGCGTCAATGACAGACGACGTCGCGGCTCGCGTCGAAGCCCGTTTACTCGGCGATTTGACCCGATATTTCTTGAGACGCGGCGTGAAGAACACCCCATTTCGAACATATACACCCGCACGCAAACCTCGTGATAGGATTAACGCCGTAAAGAACGCGATTTGACCCAAATTTCGACGACCTTGATGGCTTTGACATTACACTCTGCTCATACACTCTTCACCATCGCGTTGATCGTTATTGTACAGGGTTTTTGGTCACCGATGGACCTCCAACGAAGCGCTGGGACTGTGTCAGGGTGGAGAAGGGCCATGAGAAATGGAGCGCAAGGTTCAGTACAACTAACCCGATGGGAGTAATTACCAAGAAAGAAGCAATGGATAAGAAAGGCTCCAAACTGATTGGTGGAAAATGAAAACGGCTGGTTTCTTTCTCAGTGCTACTTGCATGGGCGGACTCATGGGTGCGTAGCGGTCACGCGTGCGGTTTTCTGTCCTTTAATCGTTCCATCCTGTCAACTCTAAAGTTCACACACAGATCAACACATATGGACATGAAAACTATTAAAGGTGATAATCCTGAGAATGAGGGTCGATGGTGTCCTCGCAATGATTCAAATAGGGCGTTCATGTCGTTGGGGGGGGGGCATTCAAGGAGTGAGCCCATTACTATGCTTGGGACTACGCCTAAGGGAGGAGAAGGGATTCCGAAGGAGGATGTGAGCAATTTGTGTTTTGCACTGGCGTTTCACCCTCTCCTGGGCTGATCCTAGTGTCCCTAACCATCGGCAGGCACTGCTTCGAATATCCCCCCTAAGGATATGTGCGCCTCAAATACTATGAACACCTACTATGAACACACTTGAAGCGATTTTTCTCGGTGAATAATAAGCAAATCTTCAGGTCAATGACTTCAACTGCAAGTCGTTCATGTACAATAACGTATCGCGTACGTGTATTCTGTCTGATGAACGATCAAAGCCACTCGGACGCGGAACGCTCATCAAGACCGAAGGATTCACCTATTACGAGAAGAAGTGCTTCGCATGTGAGTTTGCTCAACGATTGATCTTTATCAGTCAGTCAGTGACGTCACTTCGTCTTTTCCACAAAGTTCAGTTACTTTTCAAATAAAGCGGAAATTACACCCTCTGAACGTTTTCCTAATCACACAGAAATTATGGGATTAATAGTCACTGAGACCAGACCAGGACTAGGCAAAGTAGTTGGGGGCACATCCGTAGAACTTGTGTCACCCTTATGACTCAAAACCGCGGCCCTGCATCGTTCGTCCACCACTGCGCACGCGCTGATGTCTGCGTCTCTCCAGTTCCTATGCTCTCTCTCGTTAATGCGCTCAGTGCTTCGCCCACCACTCAGCACCCTCGCTTCAAGATTTTTTGGCAGTTTCTTTTACATTTTTTTCGCTCGCGGTCCACTTTGCGCTCCTACTTAAATTTTCTAGCGTAACTCACAATCGCGGAATTTCTTTTCATAATCTTCACTGATACTTGGCCAGCCCATAGGGCAGCAACATCGCATGCAAACGTAGTTGTCGTTGGCCGACACAAAGGCTTACTTAGAAGATCCAATCCTTGTGCCATAATGGTGATAAGGGTGCCTTTTTCAAGCACCAACTCTGCTCCTCGGTTCACCCTTCCCACGGGTATCGGGATGGGGAGGAGGGGTAGACATGGTGGGGCTTACCTGCCACCTCAAATTTTCTCAATTTCTTCAACGATCCTCAAGCTGCAAAACATCAGAAGAAGCTTATAGTCGATCTGGTATGTAAGACTTCAGAAGTCGGAGTCTAGACCTGGGTAACTTCCCGTGGTGTAAAAGTAGTGACACTCTAAAAGCAAATTCTCGTTAGAGAATGACATCGAGGCCAGTGCATTACCCGTTTTAGCCCGATCCTAATCCCCATTTTAGCCCTTTCACTGGGCCGCAGTTAAATGACCCGTCGCGTAACATCTATGGAAATGGTTCCAATCGACGTGCACCACCTCCACTTTCGGTGTTTCGCGACGCTGATTCCCCGGTCGTCGTCACTCGAGAACGCAACCAATTGACCTCCTAACTTTCTTCTCCGAGCCGCAGCAGTGAATCATCGATGGGATTAGCACCGCGCGATGGCGTAGGCGACGATCAAGGGACCAACTGGCACATCTTGTGCTTCCCAAGCAAACAAAAATGAAAAACTCTTACGCCTCACTTGAGATTCGTCGGAAGCTCAATTAACGATCTGAGGTCTTTTATTTGAAGCAGGTCAACCGTTAATTGTACTTTGGATCGGTCCGCATGATTGGGAACGGGAAACGAACACTGGCTTCTTAGACAGCCTCATGTTCCGTGGGACGAAAAGAGGCCCATCAACCAGGGGAAAATATTTCTAGTGATTTCTTATGACAGTTTACTTTTATCTCAAATAAATTCTAGAAAAAGTAAAATGAAAGGAATGCTTGGAACTAAAATGAAAGACTACTGGATCTTTCTTCAAAATTACCAGAAATTGTGCAATTGCAGAAATTGACGTGGCACACGTGGCTAAATTCTCGATGAAAAGGTGACATCACGTGTGCTCAAAGATGTTCTTGAATCGATGCCACGTTAATGCCACGTCAATTTCTGCAATTGCACAATTTCTGGTCATTTGAAGGCGAGGGTAGTTTGGTAAGATTGTTCGAGTCTTTTCAATCCTAACAGCATTGCACATCTGGGTGGGGCTTGTAGAATAGGTGGTAGACGGGAGTCGAGGATGGGTGACAGTTATGGATGGTGTGCTTGGGCGTACAAGTCATCAACGAACTTGATGTGGTATTCATGTTTCTACGGAATCAACACCTTCGACGAAAGCTCCATTGCGGATTAAGTGTTCGCCCTGACGCGTGTGTATGCGGCGCATAGGCGTAATTCGCGGTTGAGACGAATTGCGATGTCGCCTGTGCCATGTGGATCGAGTCATTCCAGTATGCAACTATTTAGCCAAATCGCTCAGTCATCGATACAAAATTCGACGTGAAAGTTGCTGGGGGCAGTTTTGAGGGATAGGGGCGTAAGGGTTTTCCAAACTAGTTAATCAGTGTGTTGGGTTGTTTCTCATGCGCACCATAAAATACCGGTTTATTTCAGCGTTTAGAGGGTTTATTTTTTTTTCTTTTCTATACACTGAGAAGTTCTCTATTTTTTTTCTTGAGCGATACCGCTTTGAACATGCAAGGACCTTGGTGGCTCACCCTCACCTGAGTTAAGTTCTGTAGCACTGTGATGTGTCATTCTGCTTTCAATTATTACAGTGTTATCCCTGTTCATTAAAGACAGGTTGAGTGGCTGAGGGGCTAGCCGAGTGGGACCAAACAACACAGTGAGCGACGGGCATCTCCACAATAAATGTAAAATGTTTTCTGCAATGAATACATGATAATCGAATGGCAGTTCGTTTTGCTTTATACGATGATTGTCTGCTATGGAAACTATTACAGGTGTTAGTTTTCTTGAGACAGCTAGTCAGCTATCCGAAACCACAGTTTTACAGGATTTCACTTGGAGGGCCGGTCAGCTGTTTTTGGTATGTCGGGGGTGGCGCTCTCGAAGGGTATTGATTCGCTGGGCAGCGATGGGACATAATTATACCAGGCTTGATTCTCGATGTACATTTCTACTTAAAGTTGTAGTCCATTGAATGATGTTTAGCCGGTTAGTGTTGACATTTTCAAGAATTACCCTCCTTCAGTTTTTCCTTCAACACCATTCTCAGACTGCCGTTACATCAAAATGCAACTTAATACTGTAATCGAACCGTGTTTTCAGCGCCGAACACATGCCGTAATATTCCATCGTTCACTCGTGTTCCACAGATGATCCTCGTCGGTTTTGCTGCTTTTGTGATGGAAAACGTGCCATCGGTGACGATGTGCCTCGACCAGTGCACCAAGTATGTTTCGTTCTCAGATCCATTTAATAACAGAAGCAGTCTTTCATTGCCATGCTTTCGTGTAGCTTTTTTTGAAGAATTGTGTGCATAAAAGAGCAGAAACTTTCCATTACAGCATGCCATTTTTCAGGTCGAGACCGTGCATGGTTTTCTTCGGTCCCGGACCCACAGTCTGACATTATACCTTACTTTAACGAGCCTTGCCATATACCCTCGTTTAAGGCTGACGTCTATATGACTAGAGGGCTACGGCAAGTCGCAGTGTAGCGAACAATGGGTACCCTTTGTGAACCATTTTTCCAGTTCTCAAGGCATTCTGACGCGTTCAAACTGCTGTGGGCCGGGTAAGTTGGATCGGGAGCCCGACCCCAGTTACCGAGCTCAAAAGATTTACCTGAGAGACTTAATACTGGTTCTCCTATCTTTTCCTGAAATGCGCCACACACACAGACGCCAGTGGGAATCATTACTGAATTTCCACTGGATCGAATGCAAGCAAACCACCCCACGGGACTGGAGGCCGTGGTTGCCTTGGGTGAAATTTGTTTTTGATCTTTGTCAAAAAATAAATTATCTTTTGATGGCACTAACTATACGTTCAGTAGTGCCACTATTGTTGCCACATGACAAGTCTTATGACTTCTTCACTGAGGAATCTTTTTTTCGGCATACAGGTCCGGCCTATGTCTCTTTAATCTCGAAAAATTCAGCCCCCCACCTGAGACTGGAGACAATTTCGAATGCAAGTCAGTGATGTACTACTACAATGAGCAGGAGTGTATTCTGAACGCCGAGACACGCCACTCGAAGCCCGACCTCTTCATTCCAGAAGGGGACGAGTTCCAAGTGAGTCCTCCTCCAATTCCTTTTTGCTGTTCTTCGCTTCTAGAGTAGTGTTTCATTTCTACAGTCCTAAATTTCATTCAATTTCGTTGCGGCCAGAGAAGCAAAATAATCCCTTTGGTTCAGGTTGACTACTTCGATATCACCTGTCATCTGAAGCCTGAAAAGTGCCCTGCAGGAACTCATCTCAAGGTATTCACTACATGCTGCAGCGCGACTTATCTGCTTGGGGGCGTGGTCAGCATGCGGCGTACGGTTGCGTCGCGGTCAACGCGAACATCACAGCACTCAGTCATTCGGGTTAGGGTTAGGGATCGAGATAGTATTAATACGTTTGGCAAGTATAAATTGACTCAGCTGGCGCTTGTGACCGCACCGCAACCGCACGCCTGCTTGCATGCTTTTGCGAGTCAGAGCTGATTAACTATGAAGCAAACCACAGCATTTCTTATTATAGGCCGTACGTACCGTCAACGCCGCTCTGCCAGAAGGCGAAGGAGATCTGCATGTTCTGAAGGCTGCCGCTAAGGGTGTCAAGGAGTGCATGAAGAAGTTTGTGAATTTTTTCAACGCTAAATGTTTGGGATTTATGGAACAGTATACGCTTAGTATTTGCATCAAGAGCACCACAAGGCTTGTGTGTTATCGAATTTTCGAGAACAACGCCACGCTGCCGCTTCGCTACCAAGTCCGCAATTACATCACATATTGCCGCGAAAACAGCGCTTAAGTTAACGCACTTGTTGTAAACATATTGTTTACAAACTGCTCTTATTTGGTAGAGCCTCTTGAGAATAGAAGAAAATGGTAGTCAAAGTAGCTATCAACGCACAGTAAAAATAACCTTTCAAGTACCCTCGCCTTCAAATGACCAGAAATTGTGCAATTGCAGAAATTGACGTGGCATTGGCACACGTGGCTAAATTCTCGATGAAAAGGTGACATCACGTGTGCTCAAAGATGTTCTTGAATCGATGCCACGTTAATGCCACGTCAATTTCTGCAATTGCACAATTTCTGGTTATTGAAGGCGAGGTAGAATCTCAGCTACGGAAATTTCCATCTGCATTGTTTACCGTGCCGTTTTTTTTTTGCGAAACCCCTTCCATGGCCATAATTCGTAGTCAGACACGCCCATTAGGACGAGTTATCCGGAGAAAATCAGAACGCTTGTTTTTAGGTGCTTCGGAACCAGTCCAGATAAATGCCGCTCCTTCAACTATGATAAGCAGGCTGGTACCTGCAATCTTCTGTACTTGGACAGCATGGCCACCCTCCGACCACAAATCCGTCAAGGCACTGACCTCTACGACTTGCGCTGTCTGGCAGGTAAGATCGCTGTACATTTTATTATTCACCATTACGGGCACCAGTTAACCAACCTTCGGAACATCTGTCATCCCTTTTGTAAGAATAACTCCTATAAGAAAAGTATAAACGTAACCGCACGCCGCACCGCAACGCACTCACTCGCACTTGAAGACGTGCGAGAGCGGTGGCCAAGCAAACGGAGAATTTAACAGACATGCCTCTAGTGGAAGGAGACTGCTCGATCAACAAGGACGATGCGCTGTTCTCACGCTACTTGCACACCAAGCAACGTGGTATCGCCAGCAAAACGTACAAGGTCGTGTCGCTCAACTCCTGTCTCGAAGTCTGTGCCGGAAAGTCACGGATCCCTTTGCTGATTTGTTTCGAAATATTATGTTGTCCCATAAAGTAGGCCGTCTAGGCAGCGCATAAGTACAGGTTTACTGTCGCCGACATGTCATCGCGCTGTCGCGCCGCGTGATAAGTGCAAGTTGCCCGCGCTCTGACTGAACCTCCCAGCCACCTTACGATAAGGCACAAAACCCAGGAGGTCGGTGTGAACGCTTCTCTTCGGTCTGTAGTATAGACCCCTAGAGGACAAATCACAAATGTGGCGTTTCCGTGCACGGAAACCAACCGACAAGAGCGCTTGGGCCTTGCAAAGTAAGCTGCCCAAGCTGCAGACTTTTTCTCTTATCAGGCTGTTGTCTGGCGATCTCTCATCTGTAGCGCTCTCTCGCCCCATACTCTCCTCTCCGCGCTTAGTCTCTCATTCCCTTAGGCCGGAAGGTGAGTGAGCCCTTAACCTAAGCGTTTTTGACGGATTCTTTTCCTTTTTTCTTTGCTGCCGCTTGCGCACAATACATTCACATTCGGTCCTACAAGAGCCACACCAATGTGATACCTGGGCATGCCTTCAAGTACAATCACGCTATCTAGGTTACACCTTCCTTAGACTCATCGACGGCGATCCTTTTTTGATGAACACTCTGCCTGCTCATGCTACTGAACGCATCACGCGGACTTTATTACAACAATAGCGCGCAGAGTCAACCCTGCGTTGCGCAGTTCTCAACGGCCACGTTGCGCAGTTTCGCCCGATTAGACACGTTCTCTCGCGCGAACATTCACACTCGCATGCTCGAGCCGTCTGCGTCTCCGCCCATACAGCGTGCGTTGAGGATCTCTCAACGTGCCGTTGCGAACTGCGCAACGCACGGTTGACTCTGCAGCAGGGCTACCGCTGTTCTTCATTATGGCTCCGCCCACTTTGACACACGCTTCCCCTAGCGTCTGACCTCTTCTATTGCCAATTCTGTCCAGTTTTCACGGCCTCTGAACTGTTTTGGAATCTAGTCACAAGTTTTTGTAAGCAACGCCTTTTCTGGGGCACAATTCGCCCATTGCACGTGGAGCCTTTTTGTAATGTCAGTCTCTCTCTTAAACCGAATAGGGAACTGGAAGCTCAGGCTACACATAGTCTAGCCTTCCACTTCGCCATCCAAACCGGGTGTACGCCATATGGCGCGATTCATGCACTGGAACCGCACCAGCCGGCGGTAATTACACGTCTTGCTGGGCGCGGCCAACTTCGTCCGCCGGCAGCACATTCCTTTTCGTTCCTGTCTTCCCTTGACATCGGGCCAGCAAAAGCTATCCGCTCCTTTTTAGATCTTTGAGACTTCAGCGACAGTTTGTGATCCAAATTATCAATCCATCAATTACTTGAAGTCTAGCAGTTGAGTGATATACGACGAGTTGTCCGGTCGCACAGGATGGGGCATTGCTGCCTGTGCGCTCCAATGCTAATGGGATCGCGCCATATGACCGCCTCCCCCAGTCAGTATCGGCTTCAACTCGTACCTGTTGCGTGCCAGAGTGCTCCAAAGTGCTCTCCCCAACCTCAGGAGCACCGGCTCCATAGAAAAGGTCACCAGCGGCGCGGACGCGTTCGCGTGTTGGTGACGTCAATTTGACGTCACAGCGGCGGCGAGGGAATGAGCAACGGCTGACGTTACCGCCAATACTTCAATACATAACGAGCGTTTGTCGCACAATAAGTTCACCGTGTAATAAGTACTGGTGTAAGTAGGAATCAAAGTCAAAGAACGGGTTTATAGGAGCAACTTTAACTTGGTGTTGCATTTCTAAGAGTTCACGGATGATGGTATTGATTTCTTTCGTTTCATTATGGATTGGAATACCCATTTCTACTTTGTAATTCTTGGTTTTCGAACATTTTATGGTATTATTGGCATGTGCCCTCTCGATTACAATCGGAACATTGCATATTTCATTTGAAATTTCCTACTCTTTGGGGAGGATGACACTTCACGTGCTAAACTCATTTCACTCTCCTACTATTGTTGCATTGGTGTTAGAAGTGCCAGCAGCTCTATTACTGTTCCAGTGAAGTGTCAGTGGTGCTGGCCCATTTTCGGTCGCTCTCGCCGCAGCTGTGACGTCACCAGCACGCGCTCGCGTCCGCGTCGCCGGTGACCTTTTCTCTCCCCCCGAGCAGGAGCACATGGCCTGCAAATCGAAGGAATGGCGGCGCCACAGCTTAACGCTAGTCACTAGAATAGAGAATAAGGTAAAGCGCAGAACGTTCTTCATGCTCAGTGCTCGAATTGAATGGAACGACCGCTCTCAACTGAAGTGTTTATAGTTGCGCTGGAGTAAACTACAATCGCCGTGTCGGTCAGTGCGACATCTTTGACGCCATCGACGGCGAGGCAGATGTCAACGAACATGTCGACTTCTACAAGAATCTCTGTGTCATCAAGGTTTGTTGAGCGATGTGAAAGCCTATGCTGAAAATGGAATCAAGACGGCGCACGGATGCAAACTACGAAGATTTGATTGACAACGCGTCACAACGCAGTCCGCAAAAGGGGCGTGAATTTACCGACGTTCAGGACGTCTTATTTAAGAAAGCCGAGCGGCAGAGTATCACCTGGCCGCTAATGTGCGCCCACCGCCGGACTCTCGTAGGTCCGGAGCCGGAACCAACAGAAGAAGGACTCGGCGTGCCGGGACCGAGGCTGCGTGGTGGCAACGAAAAAGTGACTTAGTCGCTTAACTAGGGCAGGTGAAAGTCCCAGTTTTTCGTATCAAATTTATATTCATTATGAGGAAATACTTTCCAGGTGAAACCATCAATTCGTGAGCACGAACAACATCGGCGCAAGCCCGAAGCCACTCTCCCTATTGGACCACCAGTCTCCATTCCACCTAATGCAATCCACACAATTTGCAACTACGAAGGCATTAAGGTGAATAATTTTCTAGTAGAGATTAGCTACTCAAAACAATAGCATTTGTGGATCGTATGCATGTTAGTGGATTGTATGAGCGGCAGTGTCTTGCGTGGTCAACCGTGAGTCAATCCGGGGTTTGGTGTAGATGCAACGCGGCAGCAGGCGGGTGGCGGTTCGCTAGAAATAACCATTCTCACTCTTATCCGGTTACTCCATTGCTAAAACGAGAATAGCGTCGGGTGCACACCGTACACCACAAGTGACGACGGCTTCCACGAAATGTGTATGCTATCTGCCATGAAATGATTGAGCGTAGTCTGGTTCACCAGATTCCGACACAGAAGAGCCTATCGCGCCAAACAGCTGATTCGCAATGCGCGTTAAGACGGACTAGATGGTCCAATCGCTGCCTGCCTGAATCACGGCATAGATTCAATGTTTTAACTAGGTTTTTCGTACCATAACTCATCTTATAGTAGGAAAAACATCATTTTCAATTTCAAAACGTTGCCACCTTAAGTGCTTGTTTTTCAGGTCCAAGTGAATAACGGAGCTTCATTCAGTGGTGTGATCTTCGTGAAAAATAAGTATGACACATGCCGAGTTGAGGTTTGTTTTTTTTGTTAGTGTTTTTTACATATAGCCGGCGAAAAAAAAATATATTGAAAGCAGAAAAGATAGGAAATGCATAAGAGAATCAGATCTCAGAGACTAATGGCTGTAGGTTTTCCGGTGAGCAAAGCAATCTTTCTAAAGGGGTGGCTCTTATAATAGACCTCGCGCTCAATAGGAGACTTTTGATCAAAACTGGCCATGCCGCAACCGCTACTAGTGTTATTCCGACTTTTGCATCCCTCAAAACTGGAACTGATGTAATGTCTCCCAACCGTTCGCAGAACGCACATAACTGGCAACAAGCTATTCGAAGGTTACCGGAACTTGTAGGCACACAGTTCAAGTTTAGGTGGCAAATTCAAACTCCGCCACCCTCGTTCTGGGACTACCAAAGGATTTCGGTATGCGACCGATTACACTAGAAGGTCTTGAAGAGGTAAGTATTTTAAGATATTCAGCTCACTGTGATTTTTGGTCTACTGGGGCCCAATTGCAATGTTTAATGGAAGATTAAAAATTACCTCTAGACTACTGCAAATCCTGAAGGCAAGCACCACGAGAAAGCCGAGCGAGTGAAGGACGAACGGGAAGAATTCCGACATAAACGCCAGGCAGCTGAGAGCCGCGACTGTGGCCTGATTGATATGGTAGGTCAAACGCGTGATCGGTACTTTGACGTCTGAGCGTTATCAGAGATAATTTGTCGCTATTCTATCTACTGATACTGCCACCTCCTCTTTCAGCTGAACGGCACATACAAGACCACAGTGGTCATCCAAACGAATAATCTTGGTATTCCTGGATTGGTAACCTCCATGGACCAGCTGTACGAGGTCTCTTGCGATTATTCGAGCATGCTCGGTGGGAAGGTTCAAGCTGGATACAACATGACCGTTCTGTAAGTTACTTCATGGTCAAGCATTGGAAGTTTATACTGAGCGTTGCGCGACCGCTCTTTCTTCATTGTCGAAGGCGGGTCGTTCGTTCTCGCACAAGTTAAATCGTCTGGGTTTACGTATACTCCATATCTCGAAGTCTGACAGGTGTGTCTATGGGTTTGACGAGGCCGCCACCGCGCTTAATAGAAGTTGCGTGAATAAGCTGCTTCTAGTATCCAGCGGAGTATGGTAGAAACAGCTCATCTGCATGGCTTATAAAGTGCGGCGACGGCCACGTCTATTTCACAAATACGCGTAATCTGACTTCGGGACAGGGTCAACCCTACGTTGTTACGAGTAACAACGGGGGGTCGTACCTGGTTGAGTTTGTAGGAGGGGGGGTCGTACCCACTTTAGTCGCTCGAAATCACGTGTGGGATTGAGGTGAAACTAAGATTTCGTGGGTAGTAGGTGGGCGAGTGGAGGGCGCGCAGGATAAAAATTTGCCGTTTCAGAGTGACTATATACCCCCCGCTCGACGGCATTTTTGGGAAAAAGTGGGCGGGGTTTTGATGGAAGATGGTGGAGGTAGGGAAAAGGGGGTCGTATCAAATCCACGTTGGGGGAGGGGGGTCGTAAAAAATTTTCGAAAAGTAACAACGATAGGACAGACCCTGCTTCGGGATATGGACTGTGAGCAGTCGTTTACTAACTATACTTACTAGCATGAAAGCCATTCTTACCCGAATTTGGTTGTTTACCTAGTCAGTATGGAATTTTCAGTACTTTTTATCATAGGATTGTTTCTATTGTAGCGGTCCCGAGCCAAATCTGATCCAACCGAGGGGAAAGATCGAGCTGGGCAATCCAGTGTTCATGCAGTTGGTGAGCGGTGACGGAGAACAACCCGTTGTTCAGGTATAAAAAATACGAAGATAGATCTAATAACTCAATTTCTAGACCTTTGTCAATTCATTGATTGTCCAGGCTAAACTAGGCGACATCTTGGAGCTACGTTGGGAGATTATGGCAATGGATGACGAGCTTGACTTCTTTGTCAAGGACTGCTTCGCCGAACCTGGCGTAGGAGCTAAGGCCGAGGAGAAGCTGCAGCTGATCCAAGGAGGGTGAGTGCTGCTTACAACTTTTTAAGTACTCATCAAGCTAGCAAAGAGTCAGAGGAACATCGTAAAGATATGAAACAAATGTTGGCTACGGTTAACGCTGATTTTTACGTCCTAAGTCTGCACAATGTCGATGCGTATCAACCAACCTGCGCAACCCAACCATTTATGATCACGCCGCTTCGCAGCCACACCTCTTCGCTTATAACTCATTACAACTTGAATAATTATGGATAGTCTCGGCACTCTTTGATTACTTTCGAGAAAATCAAAGGTATAAAAGGCTTTAGTGACAAAGTCCTTCTCTGTCAGGATTTTTTCTGGAAGAAAACTTTGGTAGACTCGTTCCTGTAGTTGCAAGATGTAACCTTTTATCAGTTAGGCAGGCAAGCGCATGGTTGTGAAGTGCCGACGAACGCGGATGCGGAGCAGTAGCCTTGCTAGGTGCTGCTGCGAAATATTATAGAACTTTTCAAGAGATCAAGTAGTGTTCATTGATAGTACATATAATCACTAATGGCGCATGGCATGTTACCATACTTGCCGCTTTGCGTCCGTACAAAGTCTAAGGCAATAATTTACTCCAGTCGCTAAATAGCGATCTTGAGAATTATTACAGCTCTTTCCGATGAAACTGGGTTAGAAATGTTCCGGTCGATTTTCTTAATCCTTCTTGTTGTGATTTTAAGTGTGATAGAAAATCTCACCCAAGACGTTGGTGTGTGTGTGTGTGTGCGTTTAGGTTTTTACGCGTCAAATTATCCATCATTATGAGAAGGATTGGTTGAGTGGAAAAACTGACCTAGACACGGTACTTTGGTGTGCAGAGGGTCTGCCTTCTTGTGACATCATGCGCAAATGTATAACCGGTCCTATTCCTTGTTCGGAGCCAGGCGCCTTTTACGAGCTGTTCTTTTAGATGTCCAACGCCGGCTGTCGCTCAGAAACTCATTCCCGGTCCAATTGAAGTGCAGTCATCGTCGGTGAAGGTCGCTCGAATGCAGGCATTCCGCTTCGACTCGTCCAGTTCCATCAGAGTCACCTGCGAGCTTGACATTTGCAAAGGAGACTGCACGCCGGTATGCTCAGATTTTTCATAATCACTCAGTAGGAAAGATTGTGTTACAGAGTAGTCACTCATCAATCTCTGCTTTGTGAAATTATTTTCCTGATATCATGCTTCACGTGCATACTCACTTTCCCGTCTTGAGACGTGTCGTAATTGCAGACCAGTACGTATGGCATTTGATAACATCAAGAAATAATTTTTCGAGCACGACGACACATTTGTTGACAAATTTGCAATAACGGCATGCCTTGCTGGGAGAAACAGAGTGCGATCTCAATCGCAGTTTTTGAATTTCGGAGACTTTTATGATTAAATAGTAACTTTTCACGTACAACTCCTTGCAAGTTTCTATATATTGTCGATATTAACCACTTTCAGGTCGAGTGTGGATTGACCGAAGGACAACGGCAATCGTGGGGACGTAAGAAGAGAGAATCAGACAACTCCGTTCAGGAGTGTGAGTCACAATTTTCAAACCGATTTTACTTTTCGTTCTTAGTCAGCACGCTCTGAAGTGAACTTTATCTGCAAACTTCCAAACACTGTTTTTTTAAGTACTCAACCCGCTACAGGATCCCTTTGTCGCGGGCTTGTGCGTTCCCAATACTTCCAAATTGCATCTATTTCAGATGAGACAGCACGATACAGAGTGCCCAAACATGCCCGAGCAACCACATCTATTGTGATTATCGATCCGCTGCAACAAGTTCAAGAGCCAGTCAGTTTGGCGCGTGCGTCAGCAATCGATTTCATGCGTGAAGAAGCTGAAGAGATGCCGGTGTCGGTACGTGGTTACGATTTTATGAGATTAACTTCCTAGGGTATTAAGTATTATCTCTTCTACCAAGATGAGGTGAAATTATTATGTAGTTCTGACCAACGGATAGTCCGTAAAAATCGGAAATAGCCTAATTATGCAGAAAGTGTGCAGCCACACCTCAAGTCGGCTGGAGATACCTGGCTTGCTGGGACCGCAATGCGACAGTGCGCGTCAGATCCATCTTGAAAGAAGCGATTACGATAAAGGAGTGGACGGGAGAGTGTACGCGCCGCACACGAAGCAGTAGCTTGGCTACCAAAGAAGCGAAATTGAGTGCTTTCACTATGAAACGTGGGCTGGCTGTTGAGCAGTACTTGAGAAGTCTCCACCAACAAGTTTAGTTGGTGATTTGGACGAGCTGTCTTGCCAGCAGCGGCACAACTGGAGCAACTCGACTGGAGCATGGATTGGCATGGTGCCACCAAACGCGTTGCGGTAAACTCGTTCATACGTCCGCTGTCTTAGCCGTTGCCCGTCCATGAGCGCGAAAGTCAACGGCAAATCAAGGGAATTCTGCTTCGACGGTTCCTCTGCTTCTTTCACTACTGGCATACCATTGGGCACCCCCACGTTCCCTTCAAACTTCTCTAGTACCTGTCGTAATCGCTGCCTCCAACCTTTCTGTAAAAGGAGAAGGCTAAAGCTCCTACATCATTTCAACAATAATTGCTATCATGATTAGAAGAACCTGTCTCATCCTAGTGTTTCTGTACAATCCGCACCTCATAGGCTTTTATACCGAAATAAATAACTAGCTGATTCCGTCTGCTGGTGCCCATTTAGCTAATACACCATGCCAACTTCATTTCGCTGCTTTTTGAAATAATATTTCTTAACTAATCAATCTATGACTCCCAGTATTATTGCCAGCTTTCAGACCGCTGGACAGATGTGCCTGGCCAAGCCAACCCTGGTGGCTGTGTTCGGTCTGCTCCTGACGTTAACTTCTGTACAAGCGATCGTCGTCATACAGTATCTCGTGAGGCGACTGTATCGTTCTACAAAA